CACCCCAAAAACTAGGTGCGTCTTATACTTCGGAGAGTCTTATACTCCGAAAAATATGGTAACTTGTTTCAGCTTTTTCTATTTTTAAAAAAAATGCTTGTATCTTTTTCAATATTAATTTTAAAGGGTCATTTTAAAGTACAGGTTTTGAAAAAAAAGCCATTAAATTCGAAGACAACTATTAGAAAAAGTTCTACTCTTTTCCTTTTTTCTAACCATAGCAACAGTGAGTTACCTTGCGCAGCCAACTAGGACAGGAGCTGCTAGCAGCACTGCTATCTACAGCTACTTCTGTGCTGCTGATCTGATCTCCCATTCCACAATCTGCTTCCATAGTTCTTCGGAAGCCTCTGCTATTATCAGGGCTCTCAGAATCCTGTTCAGTTTCTTCTTCCTCATTTGGTTCAGCTGTAGAACTCTGGGCCACTAACAGAAAAGAGTAGGGAATTAAATTAAATTAAAAATCTTAAATATTTGCTCATTTCAAACAAATCTGATGGTCTTGAAAATGCATATACTACTGTCAGAAAGGAGTTGATAAAAAAGATAAAAGTATCCTTATGATGGAATACAAAATAAAAAACCACTGACTCAGCCATACAGTCCTCACTTAATAATTTGTTTAGCAACCGTTCAGTTACAACTGAATAAAGGGACTTATACTACTGATCCTTGAAATTCCAGCTATTGTAGTAGACATGTCGTTTTACATCATTTAGTGACAGGTTTGCCAGTCACAATTAGTTCAGTGAGGAGCTGCCACCATGATGATACAATGATGTTATCTCACAGTAAACATGAAGACAAAATTTATTTTTCCATAACAGAATATTAGAAACTATTAAAACTCTGAGAAAATCTGTCTCCCTCCCTCCCTCTGTCTTTTGGTGCAGGAATGTCTTTTTAAATGTACTTCCTGTATGTATATATTGTACTTGCAGTCATTATTTATAACTGGTGGAATATTTTCCATGTATTCAGTTGGCCCAACAATTTCTTTTTATATCTGTTTTCATAAATGCATATTGTAATTATTGTATACATTATATTCAATCAGTTTCCTTGTTTTATGCTAATTTTAGGGGGGGGAGCATTAACAAAAAGATCAAAGATTCCATACAATTCATATCTGCCAGAATGTTCTGAAAGCGACTACAAATATTTAAAATTTATTCCAAGCAACTGAAGTGTTTCAGCAAGGTACATTGGTTAGAGAAAGCATAATTTCATTCTAGCAATTAAATGAAATCTAGAAGACTGAAAACACCTATAACATTGTAGTAGCTAGTTTCTCAAAATGTCAATTGTCTTCCACAAGATAATGGCCTGCTACCCAATTCTGCTCCTTTTCCACCCGGGCAAATTGGACTTTCTTAAATTTACCTTAATGTGTGATCAGAGTTTTAGCATCATATTATATTATTATATCAGACAAGTCAACAAGGAAAGGCCCTACAACTTCATTATTTTATTTATTCTCTAATGAACAAGCTCTAAACTGATTTATCAGAATACATTCTCTTTCTTGTAAATAAGGTCTTTAGTCTATCTAGCACAGGGGTAGTCAACCTTTTTATACCTACCACCCACTTTTGTATCTTTGTTAGTAGTAAAATTTTCTAACCACCCACCAGTTCCACAGTAATGATGATTTATAAAGTAGGGAAGTAACTTTACTTTATACAATTTATAAAGCAGAGTTACAGCAAACCCCTACCGCCCACCATGAAAACTGGAACGCCCACTAGTGGGCGGTAGGGACCAGGTTAACTACCACTGATCTAGCAGTTATATCTTGGCTGATAACAGTCTACACCATTGATGGCTAACCTTTTTATTGAGGTGTGTCAAAAGTGGGGGGAGAGGAAGGGGGGGCATGCGCACAGGTCCTCCCCCATAATGCAATGCCCTCCCCCCATGCATGTGTACACAACCCCCCCCTCTGCGTATGCATGCAGGACTCACTAACACCTCCGGACTTCCAGGAGTTGCGTTGGGCCATTTTTTGCCCTCCACAGGCTTCAGGAAAGCCTCCTGAAGCCTCCAAAGGGTGAATAACGGCCCAATGGGCAACCCGGAAGTTCATTCCCGAACTTCAGGTGGGCCTAACAAGCAAACTAGAAGTTTGGAAACGG